TAATGCCTACATTATAATTGCCGAAAAGCAGCTGAGATGTGCCAAAAATTAAAGTAATATAAGATTTACAGTCAACATGCGTCTGACAGATGATGCAGTCTGCGCATGCATCTGTCAGTGATCGCACATCAAACTTAGCCTATAATTTAGTTTGAGATCATTATTTTTTAACTTTTAAATGCAGTCGTGTTTTGCCTTACTTTACTAAATCACAATACAAAAAAATTTACTTATTCAAAAAATTATTTAGAAGTTTTATTGTGTCAAAAATTAAAATATGTTTGGCATTGGATACGAAATATTTACTCAAGTCGATGGAGCGTTTTAGGTCTGAATATTTTTAATTTGCTCCAATTTGCATGAAATTTTGGAATTAGGTTCATCTTACTCTCAAGTTTAAAAGTGAAAATAATTTAGACTTCTTTGCCACTTTCCGGGGGGATGACATCCCTTTTCAGTGGTGCAATTGTATCTCTTTCAAAATAACGACGGATATCGATAAAAGAACTAATTAGAAGAGAAAAATGTTTTTCAAAAAAGAAATTACTTTTCAAGTTACTGGCTACTAAAAATTTGTTTTTTTTGCGTTTTTCATCGTTTTTTGCAAATATTTTTTAAAATATACATTTTAACGAAAATCTTAATAAACCGGTGTTATATGAAGTGTTCTAGGAACAATATTAGGCTGGATATAAAAATGTGATTTTATAGTGCTTAAAATAAGCTTTAAAATTGGTACATCTGAATGTAAAATGAGTGAACTATTATGCAGATAAAAGACGCATACAATGTTTTTTTTATTAAAATCAAATAGTTTATGAGTGCCATTTCCAACAAAATTAATTAATATGGTTAATTAACTTGGTTTAAGGGATCTTGATGAATACTAGAAAATACCACAACTTTAGTACAAACGATTTCCAAAAAGCTCATGATTGCATGAAAAAAAATCTATGTTTTAAAAAAAACAACTATTTCTCATTATTATATCTCTGACAGAATAATAGATATGTATAAAGGTATATAAATAGGAATTCAAGGTCTTTTTCTGACTAATTATTGCTTTTTATTATTTTTCTGTACACAAATATTTATAGAGTTATGGTTTTTAAAGAGTGCGCGGCTGTCCAACTAGAATGTCTTTTGTGTCCTTTAACTCTTCGCCGTTTAGTTAGTTTAAAGTTACGGTAAAATTTATGATAGATAAAGTTGTAGCTCATTTAATTACCTTTAAGATAGTGTATTACAAGTTATGATAAAATCAGAATTAAAAGAGTTATAATCCAATTAATGCGGGGGTGGTGACGAAATGCAAATTGTTTTCATTTCTGAACTTAGGATTAGGATTAGCATATTTCCAAATATCAAGTAAATTGGAGCACATTAAAAAAATCATAGTGCACACGCTTTTTTCCTCTCCATTCTCAGCAATATTTTTGTTGATTGTATGTTGAATAGATCACATCTGAACAAAATTTGACAAATTAATTCACTTCAAATATGAACTTAAGTAATAATGTATATTGAATTATTAGTGAGAAAAATGTAATTTAGTTATTAAAATACTAAAAGCCAGTTAAAGTATGATACGAAATTATAAAAATTATAGGCAACATTATTGAAGCAATTATATTGGGTAGAAAAATCCAACGTGATATTGTATCTTTACCGCGCATGCTATATATTAATTCTTTCTGAATTTGTTATACTTTTTGAAAGATTTCAATTTTCAACACGTGCAGAACCGGTCCTGCCTGCAGGCGCACGCCTTAGGGGGCGCCAAAACGAGATTTGGAAATGAAATTTATAATTTATTATTCGTATTTTGATATTATTATTTTATAATAGATTATAATAAACAATCTAACTTAACTATGGATACGTAGAAACATAAAGCATATTCAGTTTGCAATGTGATATCTGTAGAAACAATTAATTACTCATGCAAATTAGTAAATTATTGTTCTGCTTATTATTTAATGAGCTTATTAAATTTTTCTTCGATCGAAGTTAATGTGGAATTGAAAAAGAAATTATCTAGTGTTCAATACCGTAAGCGCAAACCTACGAAAGTTTAAATTATTCGGCATCATTGATGAAAAATTGCGAGCTGAACGAAACTTGTTAAAAAAATAGATACAAATCATAATAGAAAAAATGAAAAATGAGAGGTCAGTGCTTAGAAAATGACTATAAGGCCAAGAAACTTAATTGTACTTGTTAAAAATGTTTTGCATCTGATTAAGTTTGAACTTTGAAGACATGCGTGGTTAGGTTTATGGAAATGGAGCAAATATGAAAAATCGAAGCAAAATGTACTTAGAAACAAAACTCGTGAGCTTTTTTATGCCTAGTGGTGTGCATACTAAATTTAATTATTAATTAAGCAGAAATAATACGGATACAAATATAATTGTGTTTTGTTTTCAATATAGTAAAGGAAATATGTAATTTCTTTGCATCTTTTAATAAAATACGTTAAAAATTTAACTTCAAAACAACAATCTGATCTTCAAAACCAGATGGGAAAGTAAACATGAATACAATTTGGCTTTACGATATCAATAAGATGCAATTTTGGATATTGTAAATATTGAAACAAAAAATTAAAATAAAATTTTAAAAATCTAACATGAAGAATGAATGTTATGTTTAAAAATAAAAATGGGTTTAATGAAATAAGTGCTATGTTTCAAAACCCAAGTATTAATATTACATATATGTTAGAACTACATGAAAATATAAAATATTTAATTATGGTCAACCGTCAAATCGCTTCAATTTTCTAAATAAAATTAAAATCAATGTATTTTATACGCTTTCAGATTATTACTAATTTTTTGTGTGAATTTACTTAATATTCATATAATCATAAATGTTAAAACAGTTAAAATTATTGGTGGGGTGGGGGCGCTAAAACAAATCTTGCATGCGGGCGCTGAGGACCCCAGGAGCAGCCCTGAACACGTGTATCTATGCCATGACAATAAATACATAAATACATAAATACAATAAATACAAAGACAAGGCAGACGATGATTTTTGTGTGATAAATTTGTAAAATCAATGTTTTAGTCGTGAATAAACAAAAAATCGTTCATTTATATATCCCCATCTACAGGTATGACTAAAAATATTGCAATAAAATAAATTGAGCTATTGGAAATAAATTTGTTCTATGAATTGCAGTGTATAATTTTTAATATACAATTTTATTGAACATATTTTAATAATTGTTAAAGGGATAATTAAAGTATAACTGTGGGAATTGAGAATCATTATTTTATTTGAAGCAGTTCTACATTTAACATCACTCATTTATTAGTGTAAATAGTAATTCGAAAAGCAATAATCATTATTTTTAACTGAACGGTAATTATTAGTATAGGATATTGAAAAAACGTAGATGTGGGTTATGCATAATCTACCATGGTAGACAAAAAAATCTACCACATCATTCTTCAACAGCTCTTTGCCGTGTGGGAAAAGAATTATGGGTGGCGGAGCCAAACATCGTAGCCAAAGGGAAGCAGAAACCACTCAAATATTATATATGGAATGGCTTTCTCAGTCGCCGGATGAATTGCTGTGGGACGAGTTAGGCAGACATGCGAGAAAATTGCAACCAACTAATACGAAACAGCTTTGGACATTCCTACAGAATCGCAATAAAATAACGATGGAACCATTGCATAAATTGATCGAAGGATGCCCAGAATATACGCTGCTGTTATACTGGCAAAAGGCGGATATTTCGAAAACTCATAAATGTAGATAAATATTTTCGGAAACTATACCTCTAAAATGAATTCTGATGTCCCGTGCATTGACAATTGGGTCAATGCACGAAACATCAAAATTAATTTTAGAGATATGGTTTCTTCATCAACGTAGGTATCTTATTTTGATCCTTAGAATCCGAAAATCATATATTTCCGATCGACCCGCCCTAATATATATATATATATATATATATATATATATATATATATATATATATATATAGTCCAAAGAAGAAAAAAAAAATAAATGCGAATTGTTATTCAATACGTTTCGAGCAATTATACTAGATTGGATGTGGCTTCATATAATTAGAAACAGGAAAAGATATTTGTTGAAGGTTGATAGGAGAAAATAAACCAGAAATTCTTCGTGAAAATTAAAAATCTTCATAAATAAAAACTTCAGACTCTGCAGACCTAGGAGTAAAATCTTGAAAATGTTTATTTCTATTTTGAAACATACTCCTAAACTACTACTGAACAAAAAGAAGAAAATAAAAAGAAAAAGAATAAGAAGAAGAAGGAGAAGATTAAGAAAAACGGTAGAAAAAAGATGTAGAAACATTTCAGAATTATGACTCTCATGAAAAAATTCAGTTGCTTTTTTATAATTACCGCCTTTATTTTTACCAAACCCCAAATCACAAATATTATTTTGCAAGTGTTCCAAAACAAACAAAATCACGACAGATCCGTGAAATAGGCCTACTGGAAAAACTATGTAAAAAACGAGCTGAGCACACTATTTTGTAGGTGGCGTTTAAATGTACTTTTCAAAGTGATATCTCTTTAAAACGGTGTCTCTGAGCAAAAAAAGTATTTATACATTTCTTGTATATAATTATATACTCCACAATATTATCTCAGATAATTTTGCGATAAAACTGACCATTACCTGAATATCACAAAGGGGTCATTTTTTAACCTTTGATCTAGTGCCATTTTTTCGCATAGGATCGATGGGGACTTTTGAGATTTCTTTTTCAATTATATTTCAAACAATTTTGCCTAGTTACAGCCCGTTATGAACTATAGTCACCTTCACCTTGATTTTACGTTTAAATTGATCAGGCTAATAGTAGTTATTTCATTTGTAAGAAGAAATTAAAAATGTACTCTATTGATAGTAGTTATTGCATAATATTATTTTTGATTGTTTGTTTCAACATATCATGCAACGCTTACAATAAGCTTCATTCAATGTAATTTTTATTTTAGTCCTCAAAACGATGACGATTACTTTGATGGTGAAAGTTTTGGGATATCTGAAAATCTTGAGGATTCTAACCTAAAGCCAAGGCGGCAACATTGGGAAAACAAAATGCAATTTGTTTTAGCTTGTGTAGGCTATAGTGTTGGATTGGGAAATGTGTGGAGGTTTCCTTATCTATGTTACATGAGTGGGGGAGGTATGTATAATATGCACTTTAATATCATGATCGCCAAATTAATTTTTTTTGAATGTTTTTAGCCTCTATTCCTCTAAATTTTATCTTATTATTTGTATTAATTATGAATTTAACTTTTACACTTTTAACGTAAGTTGTGTAAAAACTTACAGTAAAATAATGCAAATGAATATAAAATTGTTTTCATTTACCGTAAAGCTTGATTGTTTTCATGCATGCCATAGTGTACGATGATATGTAAATATTGAAGCTTTTATTAGCTTTTATTAGGTGATTTTATCATCAGCATTGCACATGGCGTTTCGTGTCGATCATATAAGCAAATGTTTGAGGAGTTAAACAAGATACATGTTAAAAAATTATAAGTTAAAATCAAATTATTTAGCTTTTTATTAGCTGTTTCACATGCCATCAAACACTTATCATCAATTTATACTCAAAATACCCCGAGTGGAAATTTGAAAAGCCCTTATATTAAATTTGGTGCATGGCCCTGATAAGGACCACATAAGGACGGTCAGGTCGGCATGTCCGAGTTCAACTCTACTACGGATTGCCCTATAATAATTGAAACGGGTCAATTTTAGATTTAAAAAACGTAGTAAGCAAAAAACCAAGTATTTCTAATTAGAGCAATTTAAAGTTAAAATGTTTACAATATTCAGTTTATTTTTTTGTTTAATGAAATATGAATTATAATAATAATGAACTTATACATAAAACACGTATCTAACTAATAAAAATATCTAAATCAAACAATAGACAACACACATAATGAACAACAATGATCCAGTCATAAAATCGAATAGATTACAACTTTCGTGATACTATGTATATATGTATCACTCGTATCTTATGTCTTGAAGGCTAGGCAATTATAATCACTTTTTGGGACGCACGGGACGATTTAGTGTTACGTTTAAAACTTTAGAAAATTTCCAATCTTTATGAAAATACCTGGTGAGTATAATTTATTTATAAGGAATTAATCAGATTTGTGTAATAAATAGTATAAAAATTAACATTGTATCACAGGAAACCATTTTTTTATATCAATAAATTTTCGAGTATGATTGACAGAAGAGTAAAATATGTTCTGGAATTCACTGTTCAAGTACACTGAAATATGACACAGCTTCTAAATACATACATTCAATATAAACTAATACTAAAGGACATCGAATTTATGAAGTGTGATACAACAAACCTTTCTTAGTCAGCATGGTATGTATTATTCACACGGTAAACCTATATATATATATATATATATATATATTATATATATTATATATATTGATTGTTTCTTTTCTGAACAGTAAATCCAATAATAAAAACAATTTGTTTTTTGAAGATGTTTAATACGACGTTTCGGAACTAGGTACGTTCCATCATCAGGTTTATTCTGTCAAATACAATGTTTTTTATAAATATTGATTAACATTAATTAATGATGGTCAATACAGGTTAATTAGAAAATTTTTTTATAAAGGAATGGATTATGTACCGGGGTAAAGAGTAATAAGAATTAACTAAAAAAGGTTTTATATAAAATTGAGAAGCAAAAATTATTTACCTGTAATAATTTATATATCCATATCACTAATATTTTTTTGTTAAAAACACTCGATTTTTTTGGATGATATTTGTAGATGTTACGACTACACAAGACTTAAACACACTGATATGAAGTTCTGTCGGCCAGATGTAAAGGACAACGTACGGAATTCCTGGCAAAAATGATTTTTTATGGCTCTTGTATTGGTAATTTACGAAAAAAGAGGAAATATTGCTTTAGTAAATGTTGAGAAATATTATGTATATATATATACATGCACATGCATATGCACACCTACATACTCATACATACATATGCACATATCTATATATTAATGTATCTACAATTATATACATGAACATATATGCAAGTGCATGTATATAGTGTACACACAAAAACATACATATAAGCACATATATGGATGTGCATATATTATAACACATATACATGTATATATATATATACATATTCAAAAATTATTAGGATTAATTGTTTTTAATCAGGTTTAAAAAATTTAGATATGAGTCATGAATGATATTGTGATCTGATCTTTTATTAACACTATTTGACGAATTCAAAAAGATTAAACTGCTTTCAGAAAAAAGTCTTTTAAAAGTACAATCCTCTCTATATAAAATATTGGGTTCAAAGGTGAAATTATGTGAGTTTTCGATGGAATGCTAGACAAGAGTGCTTTGGAAATTTCGGCTTTTATGATGAGTGACGCTTAATTCATGTTGTCTCATTCTCTCATGAATGTATTGTGATGTTTGGCCAATGTATTGTTTTTGACAATTTTTGCAAGTGATGGAATAAACTATGTTAGTATTGAATTTAGGAGGGGTGGTGGATTTAATTTTTGAAAACATTTCTTTAAAAGAATATAGAGCTGTTCCTGAAATAAAAATATTTTCTTCTTTGAGTAATTTGGCAAAATAATCAAATAAGTCTTCCAAGTAAGGCATGCTGTGAAAAGTTGGTTTAATATTGTTGTCTTGGAATAACTTGGAGATGGATTGATAATTGTTACTTTTATGATAGGAAAGTCTTTTATTGGTAATGGAATTGATGAGGGTGAGGGGATATCCGTTTTCTAATAAAGTTTTAGTTACTAATGTTGTGTTTTGGGCATGAAAAGAAGAGTGAGACAACATGATTGCGTGGTCTATCAAAGAAATGATTGTATTGACTTTATAATTTTTGGGACAATATGACGCGTAATGAAGGTATCTTCCTGACCATGTAGGTTTTCTGTACCAATTTGTGCAAATAATGTTGTCAATTTTGTGTACAGTCACGTCTAAAAAGTTTAATTTGTTGTCGATTTGTGTTTCATGCTGAATGCTCTTATTGTAATTGTTAAAGGTATCGAGTATCATATCTGATTGTTCTTTGTCTATTATAAAAAAAGTGTCATCTACATATCTAACATAAAAATATATTTGGAAATTTAATGTGGAGAAAACAGAAATTTCAAGGGTTTGTAAAACTAGGTCTATAATGCCAGGGGATAATGGGCAACCCATAGCAGTACCTTTGATTTGTAGATAAAAATTATTGAAACAATTAAAATAGGAGCAATTCAGGACAGTGTTAATGATGTGTTTGAAAGTAGTTATGGGAAAGTCGGTGTAGTTACAAATAGTGGGCCAGCGTTTTTTAATTGAATCAAGTATTAAATCATGGGGAACACATGTGAAAAGGTTAATTATATCAAGGCTTAGAAAAATTTGATCGTCCGTAATGTTTCGGTCTTTGATTAGATCCACAAATTTGTAAGAGTTCTTTACATAGTGAGGAGAGGAAATTGTGACATTTTTTAAAATATTGGCAATGTGTTTAGCTATATTATAGAATGGGGAACCAACGTAGGATACAATGGGTCTAAAAGAGCATTCAGGTTTGTGGACTTTGGGGAGACAATACATTTTTGGGGCAATAGGATGTTGTACTTTTAAATTATAGGCAAATTTGTCAGAAATGAATTTTTTATTTTTTAATTAATTAATTAATTTAATTGATTGTCTAGAAAACTGTTGTGTTGGATCATTTGTAATGATTTTGTAAGTAGTATCATCTTTTAGCATTCGTAATGTTGTGTTAGTATAAAATTCTTTGTTAAGGATTACCGTCATATTGCCTTTATCTGCTGGACAAACAATTATATTATTAGATTTAATAAATAATTTGGTCTCCGCTATATCTTTGTGTAGTCTTTTAAGATGAATATGTTGGAAACTATTATCAACTTTTTTTAAATGTTTAACTAGTTTTTCACATAGCTTTGACCTGATCCGATTTTGCTTGTCAGTCTCAATGTTCCTGATATTGTATTCTATGTTACGTAAAATTTTTATGAAGTCATTATTTCTGTATTTACTAGGTGCGTAATTAAATTTTGGACCGAGTGCTAAAATGTATTGGATATTTTCTGGAATGACTATATTGGTTTTATTTATTAGCCATTTGTCTATCGAAAATTTAGAAACATGAAATAGATAATTTTTATCTCGAATTTGTAAAAGATTTTTCAATTTCTGTATTTGTTTATTTATAATAATATGAAAGTGTTTATCGTATTTTTTATTTTCGAATTCTAAAAATTTATTAAAAGTATTTTCATCTATTGTTTCTCGGAGTGTATTTATTATCTGATCTATTCGTGTTTTTTTATTTTTTATGTCAATAAATGAATTTTTTATTTCTAATTTAGGTACTGAATTTTGTAAGTATGAAATTTGCCGCTCAATTTTATATATATTTGAAGTTGTTTGCAAAAACTGTTTGTTGATAATATTAGTTATAAAATTCGGTATAATCCATTCATTTTTACATCGTAATAAAAATATTTTTTTGTTGATGGCTTTTGCATATTTAATATTGAGTTTTGAAAATGTTTTCATCAGAGTGTGGTGCTTGTGGTCTGAAGTGTTTGACAGTGATTGAAAGAAATTTCGTCCCATTGTGTTCTGGAGTATATTCAATAGATAAGTCCTGGATTTTTTCAATATATTGATTTTCCGAACAGTAAATCAAATAATAAAAAACAATTTGTTTTTTGAAGATGTTTAATACGACGTTTCGGAACTAGGTACGTTCCATCATCAGGTTTATTCTGTCAAATACAATGTTACGCTTTTTTCCTCTCCATTTACTGCAATAATTTTGTTGATAGTAGGTTGAATAATATAATTTGAATTCACTTCAAATATGAATAATGTATATTGAATTATCAGTGTGAAAAATGCAATTTAGATATTTTTTTCCAAACATTTCGACATAGGATTTTATGTCATCATCAGTGAATCTACAGAATGAACATTGAGAAATTAATATAAACTAGGAAAAAATAACAGAAATTGCAAAAAAAACTATAGATACAAGTATTATAATTATAACGACAATGACAATTATAGCTAGATAGACAACATAAGGAATGAAAAAT